ACCAATAAACCCGTTGCCCCCCAAATAATACACGTGACACATTCTTCTTGTGGATAAGGGCAACGGCCACAGCTTTATTTAACATAATAATTTTTTAACTTAGTCCAACTCTGCCAGCTGTTGGGTGTTTCCCAACAGGCAGTTCTCCCAACTTCTATACCATGAGCCTCGACAGCCGGCTCCTCGCCATCAGCTCCGTGCAGGCTGTCGTCTCCCCAAAGCTCCTTTTTTCTTCTGCGCTGTCCAGGGAAACCCGCCAAGCTGTGACAACACAAAACAAGAAAACAAGACACAAGCCACAACACCAGAAACAGGGTGGGAGGGTGGGAAAACAGCCAAGATCCCTCAATGAACCTGCTGACTGGTAAGTCCCCTCCCTCTCCCTTTCCTTAAGAACCACAAATGTATCCATTTTAACCCAGCCCCCAATCTTGGGCAGCAGTCATGCTCCCCCTTCCTTATCCTTCCAGGGGGAAACTTGACTGCTGACCCAACCAGTCCCCCAACCAATAAACCCGTTGCCCCCCAAATAATACACGTGACACTTTCTTCTTGTGGATAAGGGCAACGGCCACAGCTTTATTTAACATAATAATTTTTAACTTAGTCCAACTCTGCCAGCTGTTGGGTGTTTCCCAACAGGCAGTTCTCCCAACTTCTATACCATGAGCCTCGACAGCCGGCTCCTCGCCATCAGCTCCGTGCAGGCTGTCGTCTCCCCAAAGCTCCTTTTTTCTTCTGCGCTGTCCAGGGAAACCCGCCACCGCGATGCCCACCTCGCGCACTACGCTGCGCGGGCATCGCGCCCCCCCGCCGACAGCGCCGCCTCAATTCCTGCTTGTAATCCCATATTGAAAATATCTAACCCAATGGGGGACAAATGAACACCATCCCGTCTCATGACATCATCGTTAACCCCTTCCAACTCAAAGTGCCTCACAACTACACCCCCCAGTTGGCGTACAAACCGAGACATGGTCATGTTAACCTTACGCCTATAGCGCTCCAAAGCCTTACCATGACCCCCGGACCGCCACACCGGGCGCGGAACGATCTCGGACCAGACGAGGGTCAGGTCCCGGAACAACGCAAAACAGCGGGCCACGTCATGCCGCATTGCACGAACTAGGTCCACCGACCGTCGCCGTCCGACATCGTTCCCGCCCACGTGAAGTACCAAGGTCACCGGCCCTGACACACAGCACCGGAGCTGTACCAGCTCGGTGTACAACCCATCCCAGGACAATCCCCGAATCCCCCTCCAACGTACCCGTGCTACCTCGTATGATAAACCGAGGTTACGGCCATAGGGTCTAGCCTCCGCACGCCTAGCAGCCCAATAAACAAATGAGTGTCCCACGATCCAGACAAATCGAGGAGCAGGACCTATAATGAAAATAACAGACAACCATCACCGTAACGATGCTAGCCTACAGCAAATGGGGGCGCACGTAGAGCTGGTACCGGCCCGACTGCCAGCGCCCCAAACGCTTGAGCGCCTCCGTGGGAAGGCCCAGCTGACTAGCCTGCATGGCAGCTCCGATTCGAAACGAGTGCGTGGTGTACAAACCCGGAGACAACCCAAGACTAACCACCCCTGCCCGGAGAATCCTGGCGAACTGAAACCGGCTGAGCGCTGACCCATCCCGATGCCTCAACAGGGATCCTGCCTCCGATCCTCGCACCGCCAAGAAATCCCGCAGCAACTTAACCGGGCAAAACGGCTCACCAGTAGCCATAATCCTAACCGATGCGCCCACACCTACCTGATCTGTCTTAGATTTACGAATGATCAACACCATGTCACCCGTCGAGACCGTGACATCAGCAAGTTGCATGGCAGCTGGCCCCCGCGTACTCGGAGCCACCAGCTCACCTATCCGCAGAGCCGCAAAAAAGCAGATAGCAAACGCGGCCTGGAACAGGAGAACCTCGTAGCCCGAAACACAGATCTGGGGCAAACGCTCCAGGAGTCTGCACAAGATCTCATAGGAGATGGGACGCCGAGCGTCCCGCCTACGACCCTTCTTCCAGCCCTTCATGATCCGCGAAATGCAAAATGACTTGGTCGCATCCTGCCACCCACACCACTGGAACAGAAAAGACAGGGCCGCTAACGCCCTCTCTGCTGCCGCTACCGACTTACCCTTCTCGCAGAGTGACTCCAAAAAGGACAGAGTCGCTCCCAACCTACCTTCGTCCGTAGACGCCTCCCTGTCCCTGCAGACACCCGTCCACTGCCGCCAGACCGCAGAATACGATTTCCACGTCGACTCCGCCAGCGACTCCCTCGCCAACCGGCTCAGATGGTGGAAACCAGGTCCCATATACCCTCCGGGCACGAGGTGCCAGCCTGCTCCGCCTCTGGAGCCGCCGCTCGAAACCTGTCCCACTGAAACCGAGAGAGAGAGTCGGCTATAACGTTCCGCTCCCCAGGCACATGGCGCGCAACCAACCACAAATTATGTGCTAAGCTAAGCAGGACCAGGCGCCGGAGGAGCGTCAACACCGGAGGCGACGCAGACGTAGATCGGTTGATCACATGGACCACACTCATGTTGTCCGTGTACACCACTACCTTCCGGTTCGACAGCTCCACACCCCAGAGCTCCACAGCCACCACAATGGGAAAGAGCTCCAAAAACGTCAAGTTACTCACCAAGTCCGTCTCTCGCCAGTGTCGGGGCCAGGCCTCCGCGCACCACCGTCCCTGAAAGTAGGCACCGAAACCCACGGACCCAGACGCGTCCGTGTATAATTCTAAATCCGTATTGGACACTGCCGGGCGCAGCCAGCAGGATTGCCCGTTGTACTTACCCAGAAACGAACTCCAAACCTGCAGATCCTCTCGATGCCGGTGAGTGATTCGAATGAAGTGAAACGGCTGCCTGACTCCGACCGTTGCCAAGGATAAACGACGGCAAAAAGCCCTGCCCATCGGCAATACCCGACAGGCAAAGTTCAGATGCCCTAACAGGGCCTGCAACTGCCGAAGCTGCACTTTTTGAACCTGCTGACTGGTAAGTCCCCTCCCTCTCCCTTTCCTTAAGAACCACAAATGTATCCATTTTAACCCAGCCCCCAATCTTGGGCAGCAGTCATGCTCCCCCTTCCTTATCCTTCCAGGGGGAAACTGGAAGTTTATTTGTACAGAAGGTATAATTCCACCCATGTAATCTTCGTCTATTTGTTTTAGACAATTTCCATCCAAATTATAACCTTTTTACATTTTCTGGCTATGTAGATTTGACGTGTAATGAATTTCACAAACTGGAAAGTGAAATGGCCAGAACTGCATTCATAAAATGAGATTATTTTTTTCCTCTCTCTTAAAGGGACAATACAAGCACCATAAAGCCATATGTTTGTTCTGTGGTTAATAGTGCAACAATGTCTACGTGTGTGTCTCTGTACACTGAATCTTTTAAATAAAGTAATCTACAAAAAAGCACTTCTGCTATAAGCTCACTCGCTTAGTTAAATATATAAATATAGGAGAGGGATGGCTCCCACTAACCATACAAATACTTGTATAATCAGAGAGCAGGGTATTATGGGAGTGGTATGTCAGTGGTTGGTTTTCTGCAGATCATGCAAAGCCTGGGAATGTACAGCAAATGTTGGATCCTCAACTGCAAAAAAAAAAAATGATGTATTGATTTTGTAAATATTTTCATAATGCATTATTAAATAACACTGATAACAAATTGAGCAGCAGCGGTCTGGGGTATCTGCAATAATGTTGTTTTCCTGGGTTGGTTTGTTAAGCTGCAAGTATTTTTCCATTAACAACGTGATTAATGCCAGCTACTGACCAATTTTTTAAAGAAGGAAGTAACACACACCTATTGCTTGCAGAACATTCCAAACATGAAATGTACTTCGAGAAAAAATGCAATATATATGCAGCTTCAATTCCTTGACGCAAACACAAACTTCATATAATTCCATAAAACATTAACTCCAAACACCATAATCACTACCAGGGGTGCGCCACCTGTGAAGTGAGTGCGAAGCACCCACAAAAGTAAGGGGCAACTGCATTTGGAGTTTCAGCAGCATCGGATACCTGCACCGTGCCAGATGTAAAAATGAGGCCATTCTTTCCTGTTCTGGCATGCCCCCTCCCTCCATATTGACCTCCCGTGAATCAGGACATCGGTGGGGGGGATCAAAGGGACAAGAACCGTGTCACTGATCCCAGGAACGGGAATTGTCACGGTTGCCATCCGAAGGACTGGCAGGTCACCCTGGCATGAATGCATAAAAGACAGTCTGACAATCACGCAGGCCGGCCCACCATAGACCATGCCGGGTGCGCTATTTCAACGCTGTCTGCGCACGCTCTACACTTTTTGGCAACAGTGCTCTGGTGTTCTTAAAACAGAGACACCAAGGAACAAACCCAGGGGAGGACGCTGAAACTGGGACTGTACAGACGAAATTGGCAAAGGGTCGTGTGTTTTTCGCCAAGGGGATCAGGTGATCACAAAAGGTGGGATAATGGTGAAGAAACATGAAAAGAATGGCCGACAGAAAATACGGTATGCAAACAGGGAAAAGAGACACAAAAAGGCTGCAAGATGCGCAAAAGGATGTGTAAAAGTGGTGAAGGGGTTAATAGACAAACAGGTTAAGATGAATTTTGGGGGGTGGCAAAATGTTTCACTGTGTAGACAAAAATCCTTGCACTTGCCCTGTGCCTACCCTTTCCTGAGCAATATAAAGGGATGAGGTCAGGCAGCTTTACAATACGAAATCTAGATCCTGTTTCCTTTTTGCAAAAATCCTACTTACTTTTCTATGAAGTAAAAAAACAAGGGGGGCGGGGCTTGCCAACCGACTAGAACGGACGCCATTCCTGAAAGCTCCTCCAAATACAGCCTGAATCCATCAAATATCTCCCCAATAAAGTCCCATCCGACATTAAAAACACTCCAGCTGACCTACCTGATCGGCGCCGCACTGATAGATACCGTTTTTGTACACGGCGAAACACTCCAAGCCGCAGCGCAGGACCGCGGCCTACTGTGCGCCAACGATCCATGGCCTGGAGGCTCTCCTAAGCGGCAGCTACACACAGAGCCCGCCAGACACCGTGCCTCACGCCACACAGACCACCCAACACTCCATGCCTGCAATGGGACGCCGGTCCCAAAAACCGAACTCCACAGCAGACAGCAGGGACATAGGAAACATAGAATGTGACGGTAGATAAGAACCATTCGGCCCATCTAGTCTGCCCAATTTTCTAAATACTTTCATTAGTCCCTGGCCTTATCTTATAGTTAGGATAGCCTTATGCCTATCCCACGCATGCTTAAACTCCTTTACTGTGTTAACCTCTACCACTTCAGCTGGGAGGCTATTGCATGCATCCACTACCCTCTCAGTAAAGTAATACTTCCTGATATTATTTTTAAACCTTTGTCCCTCTAATTTAAGACTATGTCCTCTTGTTGTGGTAGTTTTTCTTCTTTTAAATATAGTCTCCTCCTTTAATGTGTTGATTCACTTTATATATTTAAATGTTTCTATCATATCCCCTGTCTCGTCTTTCCTCCAAGCTATACATGTTAAGATCCTTTAACCTTTCCTGGTAAGATTTATCCCGCAATCCATGAAAACTTAGTAGACCTTCTCTGAACCCTCTCTAAGGTATCAATATCCTTCTGAAGATACGGTCTTCAGTACTGTGTACAATACTCCAAATGAGGTCTCACCAGTGTTCTGTACAATGGCATGAGCAATTCCCTCTTTCTACTGCTAATACCTCTCCCTATACAACCAAGCATTCTGCTAGCATTTCCTGCTGCTCTATTACATTGTCTGTCTACCTTTAAGTCATCAGAAATAATCACCCCTAAATCCCTTTCCTCATATGTTGAGGTTAGGACTCTATCAAATATTCTGTACTCTGCCCTTGGGTTTTTACGTCCAAGATGCATTATCCACATTAAATGTCAGTTGCCACAATTCTGACCATTTTTCTAGTTTACCTAAATCATTTGCCATTTGGCTTATCCCTCCTGGAACATCAACCCTGTTACATATCTTAGTATCATCAGCAAAAAGACATACCTTACCATCAAGACCTTCTGCAATATCACTAATAAAAATATTAAAGAGAATGGGTCCAAGTACAGATCCCTGAGGTACCCCACTGGTGACAAGTCCAAGCTTCGAATATATTCCATTAACTACAACCCTCTGTTGCCTGTCACTCAGCCATTGCCTTACCCATTCAACAATATTGGAATCCAAACTTAAAGATTGCAGTTTATTGATAAGCCTTCTATGTGCAACAGTGTCAAAAGCCTTACTGAAATCTAGGTAAGCAATGTCTACTGCACCACCCTGATCTATAATTTTAGTTACCCAATCAAAAAAATCAATAAGATTAGTTTGGCATGATCTCCCTGAAGTAAACCCATGTTGTCTCTGATCTTGAAATCCATGTGTTTTTAGATGTTCATCAATCCTATCCTTTAACATGGTTTCCATCACTTTCCCCACTACTGAAGTAAGGCTTACTGGCCTATGGTTGCCCGACTCCTCCCTATTACCTTTCTTGTAAATGGGCACAACATTCGCTAACTTCCAATCTTCTGGGACTACTCCTGTTAATGATTGGTTAAATAAATCTGTTAATGGTTTTGCTAGTATACCACTAAGCTCTTTTAATAGCTTTGGGTGTATTCCATCAGGTCCCATTTACTTATTTGTCTTTATTTTTGACAGTTGAAATAGAATCTCTTCCTCTGTAAACTCACGTGTAATAAATTACTCATTTATCCTTTTTCTCAGGAGACATGGTAAGGCAGCCTGCACAGCCCAGAACACTCAGTACGGAGGACCAAGGGGTGAGTAACCAGGCGCAGAGGGAGAAAGAACCCACGCTACTCACACAGGCAAGTCTCATACAATCTCTTGAGACCTCTGACGGGTCGGCCCCTACTACCAAAAATTATTTGAAAATCCTTCTTGCAGATATACATTAACTATGGGGAGCAGACTTAAAACTACTGAGAAATGACACACAAACCATAACAGACAGGGTGCAAGCCGCAGAGGAGGATATCATTGACACCAGATCAGATATCAAAACCCTTAAAGAGACAGTACACCAGCTCTAAGCACATCACTCACACTTCTCCCAGCAACTCACAGCCTCAGAAGACAAAGAGCGCCAAAACCATATTAAAATACGCGGAATCCCTGAGGAAGTTACAGCCGAGGAGCTCCCACACTATCTCCGCAGGCTACTAACCACCATATTACCCCACGCCACCACCAAAACAATAATCATAGACGGGGTACATCGCATCAATAGCTCTGCCAAACTGACACCTGGAGTGACAAGGGACATTATCCTCAGATGCCTAACCGTCCAATACAAATCCCAAATTATGACAGTCCTGAGGAACAAAACACCCTCGTCCTCTGAGGGCTCCTCCTTGTCTTTTTTTCAAGACCTCACCAAAAGCACACTACTCTCGTGCAAGTCAATGGCAACTGTCACCTCACAACTGAGAAACGCAGACATCACTTACCGCTGGGGAGCCCCTGAGACCTTGGTAGTACTCCACAACAGAACTAATCACACCATCACCTCTGTCGCAGAGGCACCAGCCCTCCTGAAAGCACTGGGACTGATAGGGCAGAACAGGGGACTGCAATCTGACACCAACACCGAAAACTGGGACCCAGACCGCATCTCTCCCTTTATCCCAAGGAATGGGAACACGCAAGCTACTAACACCTGAACGCACCCGAGTCTGGAAATGGAGAACTGTCTACGAGAAAGTTTACTAACCCTGTGGAGATATGGTTTAAATTTTTTTCCCATTTATCTCTCTTCTATTCTTTTACATCTACCATGTTTGTATAGAATGCATAGCAACTGGAGATGACTAATCTCGAACTGGCCCGTAGCTTGAAACATCCTGACTTCTCACACCCCCCGCTGCCCCCTAGGTCAGGGGTACTTCATAGAAACAGAGGTATGACCCCCACGCCGGGCGATATAGCACTACTACTGCACATCTGATATACCTGATTTAAGATCACCAGACAATCCTTAGAATGAGCCCAGGGAGAACACCTACCAACCTCTGCGAGAGAAAATATGCTGACCCCACTACAGCCCACTAGATACAGACTCCCGAGCATATTAACACCCAAAGCACAGGAACATCTGAGAGCTCCCACGTTGCATTATGGAGAAAAATAAAAAAGGTGCCATAACACGGAAATGCTCTTGTAAAACCACTCTGTATATCTGCATCTTACAAATTTGCCATGTTCCAACCATGTCTTTGCTATGCACCACCAAAATAAAGAAGAAAATAAATAAATGAAAAAAACAAAACTCAACAAATACTTACAAAACAATGTTATGCTAATGCTTATAAGAATGTACTAGATAATAACACATTATTTTGCACTTGAATAACATTCATAGAACTAAAATATTAAATGGGGATTATTTTTAGATTGACGGCAAGCTGCATGGATGCAAATATTATATTTAATATTTAATTGGCCCCATAGCTGCACTGATGAAGCTCTGTTGACAATCTTGGGTCACATATTGTCCTGATCACCAAAACCAATGTTTTGTGCAGGCATCTCAGAACAATTTTCTTGAACATAATGTACTGGAAAAAATGACAATAAACAACCTCTTCTAATTACTCTAATTCTGGATTAAATTTTTCGTCTGTGAATTTACGCAGCAGCCTTTATTTTATATCTGTCTCTTTGTGCGCTATAAAAGAAAATTCGCTACTATTGTTATTATGCCTCTGCAATGGTATCCTTCGTCACCACGTTAAGCCAGACCCAGAGTCTTTTTATTTAATTTGTAACTATATATAGTACATTGATTTCGTCTTGCGGGCATTAAATCCACTCAATCTAGCCTATCTTCTATCTTTCACGTCACTCTTTTTTGTTTTGAATTTTTCGCTGTATTAGTTTTATAGGTCACATTTTCATGTCTAAAATATAAAGAATTGTGATAGATTATTGAAATGTTTGGCTGTTTTTAGATCTATTTGCTGATAGACATAAATAAATGGGTATTGAAAGTATTCAAAACAAGAGCTTTCAATAAAGTGGCAGTCCAAGTACCATAACAACTGGAGCTTTGTGTAGTGGTTATGGCGCACAGAGCCTATAGGCATGTCCCATAGGTTTCTGATGGCGCTGGCCCCGCCCCTTTGGTGACATCATCATATTTGCCGATTTTTAGCCAATCCAATTTTTTTAGCCGATTGGCCAAAATCGGTAGGGGGTGAGGCCAAACGCTGTTGTGGCCAATCAGCACCTCCTCATAGAAATGCATTGAATCAATGCATCTCTATGAGGAAAATTCAGCGTCTCCATGCTGAGCGTGGAGACGCTGAACGGCAGGGCTGTTTACTGTGCAGCCCTGAGCCAGGAAGCCCCTCCAGTGGCCATCTGAGGAGTGGGCACTTGGAGGTGTCCCTTGGGCCAATATAAACACTGCCTTTTCTTTGAAAAGGCAGTGTTTACATGAAAATGCCTGAAGGGAGCTATTATACTCACCTGAACAACTACATTAAGCTGTAGTTGTTCTGGTGACTATAGTGTCCCTCTAAAGTTTTCTGTTTAATACACTTTCTGGGGACAAAAGATGGACACAAGGGCACAAATTTGCAACGGCAGACAGAACATTGACATAGGGACTGTCCTCCCGAAATCGATATAATTGGAAGGTCTTGTTAACATAATATACAGCATGTGTACCTCGGTCATGTGAACTCTGAACAAATATATTTTTAACAGCTAAAAACATGGGAACAACTGAAAATTTAGATGCAAATGAAGCAGCCAAACACTCAGTATTACATGACAGAATAAATAGAAAAGATTTGATTTATTTATCTGAAATTTCAGTATATAAGGAAACAGCCTAATTGTGCTGGGCGAAAACGACCGTTTCTCTTTTGCTCAAAATCCCGTTTCTCTTTTGTGGGTATTCAGAGATAGTCAGATCTGGGTCAGGGTGACAAAGAGAGACAGATGATTAGACTGAGCACACCTGTGTCTCCTAATTGAACCTCCAACTGAGAAATATGAATTGGAGACAAGCATTTTAATAGTTTGCATTGTGCTATCCACAAATATCACAGGCGGAGTGGTTTTACTTTCGGCCTTTATTTTTCTGCGTTAGATCTCCTCCT